AGGAGGAGAAGGCGAAGAAGGAGAAGGAGGAGGAGGAGGAGACGAAAGGGGCGCGAAGCGCATGATTGAGTGCATCGCAAAGCGCTCGAGAAACAAAACATCAATACAATGCTATGGGGGCAGACATAACACATTTTCTTTTTTAGAAAATAAGGAAGTGGAGAAAACAGATGTTCGCAACGCATGTCTTTGTTTTACAAAAGTTGACGCCAAGTAACAAAAAAGCCAACACTAACTAGAATGCAACTTCCACAACTAGAACCACTCCAAAACAGAATTGTCCCGTAACCTAAACGCTATAAAAAAAAACCGTTTCAAAAAACAAGCAACTAACTTCCGTATCTTCCACAATTTGCACCGTTCAAGTTATGTAAGATTTGGTAGATCAAGTTAGTATCTGGAAGATCTAGTTAAGATCTGGAACATCAAGTTAACATCATCTACCACAACTTCCCCACAACTACCAGAACTAGTTATGAGCATCTCAGTGGGGCGGCGGCGGGGGCCAGCTTCACGGTGCCCGCCGCTGCGCGGGGGGGGCCGTGAGGTTGGGGCGGCGGCGGGGGCCAGCTTCACGGCCCCCCCCCGGCGCGGCGGGGGGATGCCGTGAGGTCGGGGCGGCGGCGGTGGGGGCCAGCCTCACGGTACCTCCCGGCGCGCAGGGGCACCGTGAGGTTGGGGCGGCGGTGGGGGCCAGCCTCACGGTGCCCCCCGCCGCGCGGGGGGTACCGTGAGGTTGGGGCGGCGGCGGGGGCCAGCCTCGCGGTGCCCCCCGGCGCGGCGGGTGGGTACCGTGAGGTTGGGGCGGCGGCGGGGGCCAGCCTCATGGTGTCCCTTGGCGCGCAGGGGCCCGCCACCTCATTCTTCCAGACCTTCCGACCTGCACGGAAGGTGAGGAAGGTGATGCGTGTCTTGAAATGTCTTTGAATGTCTTGGAATGTCCTGAATGTCTTCGGATGTCTTTGAATGTCCTTGCTTGTGTTCAAAATCCAGTGCCAATTATGTGATGTGGTGTTGCTAATGAGTTGGTTTTGTCGATGTTGTTGGCACGTGGCGGTGACGATTTTGGTAATGATGCGGGTGCTGGTGATGGGGATCATGATGGTGATGATGCTGATGGCGATGTTGATGATGATGATGATGATGATGATGATGATGATGATGACGATGACGATGACGATGATGATGATGATGATGATGATGATGATGATGATGATGATGATGATGATGATGATGATGATGATGATGATGATTATGATGGTGATGATGATGATGGCGATGATGTGCATGATGATGCTGATCAGACTGATGATGGTGATGGTAACGAAGATGCGGAGGCCCACGTTGATGGTGGTGATGACGATGATGGTGATGATGATGATGATGGTGATGATGGTGCTGATGGTGATGGTGCTGATGGTGGTGACCTAATGGTGATGATGCTGATGGTGGCGAGGAGAAGGGGGACGGTAATAATAACACCGTCATGAGGCACATATCGTCTTCACTCCTGCAAAGGACACATAGACCTCATGTGGTCTGTCCTTGGGCTGTCCTGGGCTCCTGGGGAACCGTCTTGGGGGTCCGTTGGGGCCTTCTTTTACTAGTCTGTCCCTTGTAACGTGAGACTGTAGGTTCAGTGGGGGGAGGCAGGCGTAGCCATTTTGGCTCGCAGCCACAGGGCTCGAGCCGCTGGAGTTGAACCTGTAGGCCTTCGGCCAACAGTGGCCCCGCGCGCGCGCCGGCCCATGCCGCCATGGATGATGCTCGCCGGTGGGCCATCGGCTTAAAACTTCCCGTGCACCCGCCCGCCACGGGTAACCATGCCGCCATGGACGTTGGTCGCGTTGCACACGATCGTGGTCGGTACTGACGGGGTGCTTTGGGCGGTGGAGGGTTGGCTTAACCTCGGCTGGAGTCCGCCAGGGCCCGCAGCCGGACCCGCGGGGGGCGAGGCCACGCCTGCACCTACGCCGCCCCAGCCCGGCCCGGGCGGGGGCCACGGCAAGGGGCGGGGCCAGCCTCACGGTGCCCCCCGCCGAGCGGGGGGTACCGCGAGGTTGGGGCTGCGGCGGGGGCCAGCCTCACGGTACCCCCCGGCGCGGCGGGCAGTCGTCCGGAATTGCGCTTCCCATAATTACAAAAAGGTCTGGCAACCAAATGGTGATACCACCATGGGGGTATTGAATTTGCCCGTTCGCGCACAGTTGGTGGGATTTTCTCAAGCGAAGCGCTTGTTAACCACCCCCCCAACCCCTCTTCTTCCAGAGTCCCATGACCACCGCGATGCAGCAGGCATAGCACTTGGGTCATCCAAGAGGGAACAGGCCAGCGGTGTATCATGGGCCCCATGGTCTACCCATACCCAGACTCGCTTCCCGGAGTCAGATCTACTTAGACTCAGTCGCCCAGCCTCGCGCGCTCTCGCAAACTCAAACGCAGGGAACTCGCCAGACAGATATGCACATACGGGGTCTTCTCACCTTGGGTCGCACTCGCCGCTCTCGAAAGTTCCAGCGTCAGGCATCAAGAGCAGACATCAACGGACGCCTTATCGAATATGATCGATGTGTCAGATATACCCCCTCCCCCACGAAAGCGTTTTCTGTTGCCCCAATTGGTTTTCTGTTGCCTGAGGTCGGGCCACTATTTGGACCATGGGCGCCAGGGCCTCCCTTGACGAGCTCTTCTCCTCGGGAATAGGGCCCATGTCCTTTCCTGGCAAACGTCCTTGACACATTCCCCTTTTGCATGCGATGGGCAGATTGGCCTGTAGTTTCTTTCGATGTGTGTGTGTGTGCGTGTGTGCGTGCGTGCACGTGCGCGGGTAAGTCATTGACGGGCAGTGCCAGCCAGCCCCCACAGCTTCGAGTGCAGCGAGCAGTGAGACGAGCAGCACGGCCCTGACGGGGAGCGGCCGCCTGACCCAGACATCCATGAGGGACACGAGCAGCGTGAAGAGCATCACATCTCTGAACAGTACCCTACGGACCATCATAACGATGGAGCGTACCAGCCTGTTCCCTTCCAAGAGTGAAACAAGCACTGAGACGTGCAACGCGTCCTTCGCGGAGAGCGACCGCTTGGCCCACACATCTACGAGTGAAACCAGCAGCGTGACGAGCATCAAATTTCTGAGCAGCGCCTCAGGGATTAGCACCACGATGGAGAGCCGCAACCTGGCCCATAATTTCACGGATGAGACGAGCAATGCGATGGGGCATCACGCTTTTGAGCAACAGCTTCAGGACCTGCAGCACAACGGATTGGTACCAGCAAGAAGCGGACATCAGTATTGGGGGCCTCTTGTTGGCCCTCTTTTGGGAGCCTCTTGGTCCGTATTTGCGCCATGTCGGGGGCCTCTTGGGCCGTCGTGGGGCCCTGAAGCTCGAAAGCGCGAGCATGCCACAATCACTCCAACATCATAGTAAAATGAGCTACCGAGGAACTTCTCATACTTCGTGTACGTTGATTACGCTGCGGGTGCGATAGGGCAACCACCCCCTGCGCACCCCCTTTGGTGTCGAGAATGTGCCACGCATGCCACGCCCTGCGACATGGCCCGCAATGGCCCGCACTGGGCAACCGCCCCCTGCGCACCCTTCTTGCATGCTTGCAGCTCGCTGCGAGCGTCCTGTTGGGTCGGACGGTGAGTCAGCGATCTTGGCAAGTGCCATGCCTGCCACGCCCTGCGAGCGTCCTGCTGTGTCAAACGGTACACCAGCGAGCTCGGCAACCACCCCCTGCGCACCCCTTCTGGTGTCGAGAAGTGCCACGTCCGCTTCGCCGTGCGAGCGTCCTCTTGGGCCGCACGATGGGCCAACGAGCTCGGCTCCCACCCCCTCCGCACCCTCCTTGTTGTAGAGAAAGTGCCACGTCTGCCACGCCGTGCGAGCGTCACATTGCGTCGGACGGTGAACCAGCGAACTCGGCAATTATCCCCTCCGCACCCCCTCTGGTGTGGAGAGAGAGAGAGAGAGAGTTCCACGCCTGCAGCGCCCTGTGCACGTCCCCCTGATGGTCAACGAGCTCGGCAACCACCCTTGCGCACCCCCTTATGGTGTCGAGAAAATGCCCCGCCTCCCCCGCCCAGTGTATGTGTGCGCACGTCCGTTATTTGGCATTTCTGTATGGGTGCGTCTGGCGTGTTGTCTGATGTGTGTGTGTGTGTGTGTGTGTTGGTGTTTGGTCTCGTTGTATTGTCACCGGCCCACCCCTCTTGCCGTCTCGTCTCGTCTCAAGAGACCCAGCGACACTCCACTCAGTGCCTACGGCACCGTGGCGAATGCGTTCACAGGGCGATCTCTGGGAATCTCGCAGCGTGGCGGTCTCCAGGAGTCTCGCAGCATTTTAAGGATGTGGGGAGGGGAGCTCGCAGGGAGGCGGAAACCGAACAGGGCGAGGCAGCAGCAGCGGCATGGATTGTTGACCCAACCGTCTTCATGGTCTCCCGTCCCCGCTGGGGTGAGGGAGGCGAAAGGGGACGACAACGACGACAACGATGATGACGAGGAAGACAAAAACAACGAGAAGGAAAAGGACACCACCGAGGAGGAGGATAATGACACGGAGGTGGACCAGGACGTTGCGGAGGTTGACGCAGAGGATAAGGAGGTGGAAGAAGGAGACGAAGAAGAAGAAGAGGAGGATCGGGGGAGGAGGAGGAGGAGGAGGAGGAGGAGGAGGAGGAGGATAAGGAGGATAAGGATGAGGAGGATGAGGAAGAAGAAAGAGGAGGTGCAGCAGCAGCCGTGGCGGCAGCGGCAGCACCAGGAGAAGCTTGTGGCGAGGGAAGGGGGGAAGTGGTGGTGCGGTGGAGGAGACGGAGGTGGAGGATAAGCATGATGAGGCGCAGGACAAGGAGGACCGACAGCGTGGGGAGGAAGAGGATGAGGAGCAGCAGCAGCAGCAGGTGAGCGGAAGAAGGGCCAGTAGTGGCAGGGTGCACAGGGCCTGAAGCCTCACTCCCCTCGCACTGCAGAGACGGAATGTCCGGGCAGGTCGTGCCCGGAGCACGCTGGCTCGAGGCTGGCTTTCCGTGATCTGTTCTTCGTCCGGTACACAGCAGGCGTATTTCTTATTTTCTTGTTTCTTGTGCATCGTCCTCATCCTCATTCCAAAAGGAGGCAAGAGTGAAAGTAAGTGTCCGACATGATTCATGCACCCGACCCCCGTTTCCTTCCTTAAGCACCTTTGCCTTCCCTTTGCCGTCTCTTTCCTCCTCTTGCTGGGGGTTTGGGATTAGCGACAGGCGATCTTGGGCCGGCGGGTGGACTTTCACCCCTTCTGGGACTCCACCCACCTTCTTGGGCCAGCTGGTGGTCCTGTCGTTTCGTCCCTCCTTCGCTTTCGTGTTTCTTCCTGGTCGCCGTCGTCTTGCGTGAGCTCAGACGCCTGTCTTCTCACTCTGCGACGTAGTGCGACAATGCACTGCAAATTCGTGGGATGATTTCGTTTGCCCTTCCGACCGCAGTGTTGTCCATGGCGTTCCACGATTGGAGAACCAGCGGCGAGGGGGTGCCGATTCTGATCTTACGCTGGAAGACTCATATTCTGAAAGCGCACGGCAGTCAGACTTGCAGTTGAGTAAGGATTGCAGAGGGACCGCGTGCCACCACCACTTCCCTTTTTTTCCCGAGCAGCAGATCGCACAGTACTTCTCTCTGCTCGAACACAACTCGAGATAGCCACGCCCTGTGTCCGATGTGCCGCAGTCGGCCGTAGAGCCCCAGCGCAAGTCATTGTGTCGGCCCCTTGACCGGCCCCCTGATCCCCCTGATACACGAGGCCTCCTCCTCCTCCCATTCCTCTTCCCCCTCATTGTCCTCATGATACTCCTCCTCCTCCTCGTCCTCGTCATCTGTCTCTTTCGCCTGGGCGACCTCCTACGTACTTCTCATATGGACACCCTTGCGTATCCTTCTACTTCTCCTTGTCCAGGTACCATGTGCTTGTCGACGTCGTCCTCTCCTTTCGTCTTCAGGTCCCCGATGGCAATTCGTTCATTCATTCAGGAAGTCAATACGCTGACGGTGTGTTCCATTCGAGGATGACCTCTTCCGCTTCATGAAGAGGCTTTCACCAGTCGCCACGCGTCAGCACTTGCTGCACACAGAAGACAATCCCGCGTGTGATTCTGTGGCGGGGGGGAGGGGGGAGACGGTTTTCGGCTTGTGATGGTTTCGAATTCGATGGCTACATTTCAAGCAAGCGATCCATTTGAAAACCAACGATCTAGTGAATATGAGATTCAAGTTCCTGGCTAACTACCCCATGCTATGCTGATCAGCAAGTATATTGCGAGCAAGAGTGCAAGCGATAGTACTGTACGTCAGTATCCATATTCTATATATATAGACACGTACGTACACACATATATATATATATATAGGTGCTTGTACTTGCCGACCTAACCAAGCATGCAACCAGCGCTCAAACGAAGTGCATGTGTACATTCATGGTTAAGCAAAGCTGTGCGCATATGTACGTACATACAGACATACATGCATGGAACCATACATATATACAAACACATGTATATACGCATGCATGCATACAGGCATACCTACCTGCATACCTACATGCATGCATACATGCATCCGTACGTACATGCATGCGTACATACTTGTACACGCACATCCATACACACACCTACATACATACATACATGCATACATACATACACACATACACATATGCATGCATCCATAGTTATATGTTTACATGCATGCGTGCATACGTACCTACGGACGGACGGACAGACAGACAGACAGACACACAGACAGACAGACATACAGACAAACAGACAGACGACAAACGTTCTGACTGTGGCCGTACTGACCCCGTGATGTGAGTGTGCCCGTTCTGGGGTCTTTTGAGGCCGTTGTGAAGCCGTCTTAGGGCTCTCTTCGGCCGTCTCGGGCCTCTGTGGGCCGTACTTTGGGGGTCTCTTGGGGCCGTTTGGAGGCGCCACTGGGCCGTTTTGGGGTTCTCGTTGGCTGTTCGGAGCCACCTCGGGCCCCTCCTGGGTCTTTGGGGCGCCTTGCCGAGTGGGGGCAAGCGCGTGGGCCTGTTGGGCCGTCTTGGGTTCCACGACGCTCGAGAGGGCGAGGGTGCCGAAATCGTATAGCAAGCGAGAGGCAAATACACGGTCTCATCCCTTGTCGGGCCATTTCAGGAGGTCCTCCAGGCCCCCTTGGGCCGTCGAGAGAGCCTGCTGCTCCGTCTTGCTGCAATCTTGGAGCGCCTTCGGCATGTCTTGGCCGTCTGGGGGATCTCTTCGGGACCTCTCGGGGTCTTGTTGAACCCTTGTGTGGGCAGTCTTGGGCCCTCCTGGGGCGCCCCAGACCCACGCGGCCTGACGGTACTCAAGGTGTGTCGCGTGGTACTGAGAGGAGTGCCCTTAGGTCAGTTCGAGCTATCAAAGTGACGCGTTGATACAACATGTTTGCAAGCCCCAAACATTCGATGTCCATGCGCTTCTGGGCGTTGGGGACCCCTGCTTGGATTGTTCACAGGCATCGGGGCGTAGCTGTGCGTGCCAACCTCCAACATGCCCGAAGATGGATGGTCCCAGAGGTCCGTGCTGGAGATCTCTTGCGGGCCTCGTGGGCCGTCTTCGAGGCCTTCGGGGCCGGGCCAAGAGACCCCAATAAATTAAGATGTGTACGTGCATGCACGGTTTCCGCAAACTCGGATTCCTTGTTCTACGAGCGCCCAAGACGGGCCAAGGCGTCCCCAAGACTCGCTGAAGCCCTCCACCCCAAGGTGGCCCCCGAGACAGCCAGGCCCCCAAGAGACGCCTGGAGGCCCCGACGAGGCCCTCAAGACGCCCTGAAGAAGCACCGAAGATGTCTCTAAGAGATCCCAACGAGGCCCCCAAGAGACCTCCCAAGAGGCATCTGTCCACGACCAAGGCACGGTGGCGGGCGTGGCCGAAGACCATTTGATATCCGCCGTCCCCATAGCCTGCGGCGGGGCGTTGGCGTGCCAAGTTTATGCTTCGCACCACGGGGAAGCGCGCAGCGGAGATAAGGGGCTGCGGCGCAAGCTCGCAGAAGCGCACTGAACTCTGCGCGCCATAATCTGCGCGAGGGGTGTTCCGAGATGGGCGGGTCGCATGCGAACGCGCCCGCTGAGGCCGTAGATGTACCTCTCTAAGGAGCCCGCTCTCTGTGAGGGGTGCATGAGCGGAGGAAACCTTATGTGGCTGCCCCCACCAAAGCTTCACTTGGAACTCCCACTGGGGCACAATCTCTTTGCGGCGTGTGCCGAAATCAGCGAGGGGCGCCCGCTGGGGCCGTCGGTGGGGGCACTTGTGGGGCACGATCCGTGCGAGGCGTGTACCGGAACGAGCTGAGGGGCGCCATGCGGCCTCCCCCATTGTGGGGCCGTCACTGGAACCTCCTATGGGGCACGATCCGCGTTAGGGGTGTGCCCAAATCAGCAGGCGACGCTGTGCGGCCATATAGCAGGTCGCGTGTGGTGTCTGAGTGGGGGCGCGGGGCTGCTCTCAGCCCGTCGCGGCTTCCCGCTGTCAGACCTTGCCGTGGGTTCGCTGAAACACAGTGCTGGCGAAGCGGCCACGGCACGGTCGATGGCGTCTCCGCGCGCACGTTGCGGCATGGTCGATGGCACAGACGTTGGCGCGCCACCGAGTTAGAGACTGAGTGTGTGGCCATCCCCGCTGGGGCCGTGGGTGAGAGTCCTTACGGGGGTATGATCAGTGTAAGGCGCGTGCCAGAATTAGCGGGGGACGCTATGGGGGTAACGGACGCTATGGCAGGAATGCGAAGCAACGAGCACGGATTTGCGGAGAGGTAGGGGCCAAAGGTTTGGGGCAGCGGGGAGGCGGGGTGGAGCTGGGGCGGGGATAAATAGTGCTCGGCGTCATGAGGTAATCAGGAACATGAGCGGTTGAGTGAGAGGGGGGAACGCGTAGCAGAGGCTCAGGAGGCGGAGCAGGAACGTGAACTGAAGGAGAAGGAGGGTGCCGCAGACGCGCAGGAAGAGGAGTAGAAGGAGGAGGAGGAAGAGGAGGAGAAGGAGGAGGAGGAGGAGCTGAGACGATGCCAGTGATCTCGTGATGGACTCGACGTGGAGGCAGCAGTAGCATGAAGAGCCAGTTTCGTTGAGGAGGTGGAGGAGACGACAGCAGGCGGCCAGAGCGGTCTTGCTCTTCACCGAGATGGCTCTGTGATATCGTTCAACATCCTGTTGAACGAGCCCACAGACTTCGAGGGCGGCGGCACCTTCATTGAAGCCGACGATCGCGCCTACCTCATCGGCAAGGCTGCGATTTGCATAGTGGCCAAGAGGCCCTTCGATTGAGTCTGTCCTCGGGACCTGGCCAGCGTGGCTCCAGCCAATGCGGTGGCCTGGCAGGGAAGGGAGGGCGATTGTGCGAACTTGGGCCGCGCTGGCCGCTCCACCTCTGCCTCCACCTCTTCGCTCTTGCTCGTCTTCGGTTGGATATGGCATTCCTCCGCTCATGTGCATTGCAAGATCTTCCGTGGCAATTTTATCTCAGGCCATGGGCGTGGGCAGCGCGGGGTGCCCACGCAAGCGAGGATCGCTGCATCACGATCAGCACGGGTCTGCGCTGCAGCCCTCCCCTGGCCTGCGCAGGCCGCCCCCGAGGAGGGGAGCGTGGCGCAGCCGTCGGCACTGCACGGCGCGGGGGTCCCCGCTGCACTCGTGGACCTCGATGGCGACGGCTCCATCACCACCTCCGAGCTGATCGCGGCCGCCGCATCGCTCGGCCTGGACCTCGGTAGCGCGAGGGGCTTTGGGTGAGGCTCCTTCGGAGCCCATGGACAAAGCGGGCGTGAACGAGGACTTGGCATCCCCCGCAGAAGTCGGGGCAGACGGCGCCTACGCAGACTGCCCATGCATCGGCCGACGTGGCCAACGAACGCCTCCTGGGCGGCGAAGATCACAGCCTTTCTGATTGGCGGCAGTCGGCCCGACGTTCGAATCATGGATGGCCCGGTGCGTCCGGGGGTTGCCAAGCTTGAGGCAAGGGCACCGGTTGGGGGAGTTGGTGCAGTATCGCCGACAGGCCTGCGATCGCCAAGCCGTCCAGGAATCGTGTCGCACGATTGGGGGGTTATATTCCTCTTGCACCACTTGCGGCAGCCTCAACACGTGGAGTGTTTCTTTCTACGTCGCTTCCATACCTCCCTGATATCAGCGTTGCAGAACACGCTCTTTGAACTGTGTTGTCTCAGACGGGCAAAGCGCCGACAAAATCTGCGGCGGTGCTGCTGATGATGGGCCAACGCGTGCTCGAGACATTGACTGTGTCTTCTGATGAAGTTTTCTACAGGGCCTTCTCGAACGCGTCTCCCAGCATCTTTACTGGAACTGACGAAAGCTACGAGGCTTGCAGTCACGAGGTGGGTTTGGGAAACGTTGTCGTTTGTATGGCCGATTTGTGGCTCAGCGAGGAGCGTGCCAAACTTGGCGTTCCATTCGTATCAGTTTGTCATGAGAACGTGCGACGTGTACTCAAGACTATGATTCATGAGCAAGATTTCTCTCAGAGACGTACCAGTGATATAGCTTGGAACTCACTGGGTAGAGCATTCGGAACTTTCAGCGTTGGCATGTAGGCCTGGATTGTCGTAACGATCATCTGCTCCAGCCTAGTCATGGCCGTGTTGGAGCGGTACGGGTGGAAGAACCATTTCGAATTCGCTGAGGCAGATCACTGTTTTTTCGAGCGTGTGTTCATTTGGCATCGTATTTGATTCTCAAACGCGTGGTGGCAAGGTCATGGAGTTGGGGATCTCAATTCGGCGGCGAGCGAGGGGGGGAAGTGAGAAGGAGAAGGCCGTCTCAGAAGGCGTCGGGACTTCTCAGAAGCCCTCGCGCCTTCTGAGAAGTGTTTTGTGCCTTCGGGGAAGGCTCAGAAAACTTATCAGAAGGCCTGGGGACTTCCGAGCCTTCTGAGAAGGCCCGTCCCTTCTCACTTCCCCGCCGTGCTCGCCGCCAATCAATGCGCCTCGAAATTGTTGGGGCATATTTTACAGCCAACACGGCACAGCTCTTCATCTATGAGGATAGCAATCGGCAGTTCGCCAATTTGGATGAAGTGTCACACGATCGCAGGAAGGTTTGCATCGATAAAAGAACACGCGAGCCAGCCTTGCTGACAAAGTACCCGGCCCTTCAGAAAGATGGTGTAGAGGGAGGCTTGGATGAGCTCTCAAAGCTTCGCTGTGCCGGAGGGATTGGACCAGAGGGTGTAGCGCTCCAAGTGTGGAGAGACACTGATACGTGTGACCAGGAATTTGTTGGAGATTCCATCCACCAGTTGTTTATCTGAAAGGTTTTGCCTTCTGCTGGCTTCCCCCCCCCACCCCCACACCACCTCTGCCTGCCTGCCTGGATGGGGCATTCGGGTTGGTTTGTTGATTGGCGGTTTGGTTGGCAGACTTCTCGGCTGGTTGCTGGCAAGTTGGCTGGCTACCTAGGTGGTTGGCTGAGGGTCTGGTTAAGGCTTGCCGCCTGGTTCGAAGACTTTCTGGGTGGCTGGCGGGTTCGAGCGCGCAGCCGTAGACTTTCTAAGAGTTAGTGAACATGAAGGCGCGTACCAATAGTTCTTTCTAGTACAAGGAACCGTGGTCTCGAAGTCGCGGACCCAGTGTGTTTTACAACAAGTGTTCGCGGCCTCGAAGGCGCGGTGCCACATGTGTTCCAAGGGATCATGGCCTCAAATGCGCGGAATCTGCGTTTCTCGTTGGGGCTCCTGGCCGCCAAGGCGCGAAACATTGTTTTGTTCTTCGGGATCATGGCCTCGAAGGCGCGGAGCCATTGCTTTACCCTCGTGATCGTAGCCTCGAAGGCTCGGGCCATTAGTTCTTCTAGGAGGTTCGTGGCCCCGAAGGCGTGGATCCATAGTCATCTACGAAGGATCGTGGTCTCGAAGGCGCGGGCCATGTTTTTCTACTAGGGGTCTTTGCCTCGAGGGCGCGGACCCAATGCTTTCCCCAAGAGGCCGTAACCTCGAAGGCGCGGGTCACGTGCTCCCCACGGATGGTCATGTCCTCAAAGGTACGGGTCCACAGTTTTATCAGGGATCGTGGCCTCAAAGGCGCGGGCCCACATTTTCGAACAAGGGGTTGTGGCTTCGAATTCGCGGGGTCTTAGCTCGTTGTGCGATGAGTCGTGGCCTCTACGTCGAGGAACATTGCTTCACAAGGAATCGTGGCCTCGAAGGCGTGCGCCAATAGTTGATTACGAAGGATCGCAGCATCGGGATCGTTGGTCCGTTCCTTTTGATGGGAAGCGCGAAACGATCATCGCTTTTGAGTAGCAAGTTAATAGAAGGATATCTTGAGGGGCGGTCGTAATAGGCCCCCCTCGGGCCCATCGCCTCATCCAAATTGCCTTCGAGGGGCCCCGCTCCATCAATCAGCGTTCTTTCTTCTTTTTCTCGCTCCACCCCCTCTTTTTCCATTTTGCCCGTTTTCTGGTCGTTGGGTTTCGTGGGCTTGACTGACCCTTCGAAAATGTTCATTTTGTGTCTGTGACTGCACGCCGCTACTGTTCGTGCATTCGGGCTTCGAGTCTGCCGGCTTGGAGCCGATCTGATGTCTGGGGTGGTTCGTATCGTCTAGAATGCCTTGTCTCTCCTTCCTCGTACTTTTGCTCCTCGTCTCTGCTCTGCTTGCTTGTGTTTTTTTTTTGCAGAGTGGCAGGATTTGTTTGCACTGATCGGCGCCTGCGGTCGGCAACATATCAGTTTTGGTTGTCCCAGCCTGTCCTCGATTTGAGGCCAGTCCCCGTTGAAGTTTCTTGCTCTCGTCCTCCTCCTCTATCTGTGAAGTGATTTCTCAGCAGCAGGTTGCATGCCATGTTTGGTCATACCGGCCTATCCGTGGTTTGATTTCGAGAAAAGTACTATGTGCATTGGCAGCTCTAGCTCAACTCACTTTGACGACCGCTTGCATTGCCACCGTGGTTGTCCGTACTTGGTCTCCGAGTAGCATTGCACGCGTCGCCTGGTGTAGTTGTTTCGCATAACTATGTTTGTAATCGCCCGCATTTCCGCCCCCTGTGTCATGTGCCTGCTGCGCGCGCAGTCGGAAGACTTTAACACATCGCGCTGGCCACTGGCCTCACTGCGTTGCTGAGATGTCGCATCTCGTCTTCCTCTTTCAAAAATGGGATACTGTGGGGGTGAAGCGCTCGGGGTTGCCGAGCCAACACCCCTTGAGTGTAGTTCCAAGACGGGCGTGTCGCGTGAGACATTCTCTCAACATCGAAACTTCAAAAGGATGTTTTTCTAAGCTCGCCTCTTGGGTTCCAGCAGGGCGCTAAAGTGGCTCGATAGATCTTCGACATGGCCCCAAGAGAGCCCAGGTAGGGCGGTCGGAGGGCTCCAAAATGGTCCCCAAACGGCCGCTTCGCGTGAAACATCCTCCCCACATAGAGACTTCGAAGGAGTTGTTTCTTAAAGCTTGCCCCTCCGGCTCCAACAAGGGGTTATTACTGCTTCGGAGGGCCCCAAGAAAGCCCAATCTGGGCACCAGGATACCTCCAATATGTCCCAGCCGTCTTCGACGGTATTTCGACAATGTCATCGCTGCGAGACACATCCTCTCTAAAACGGAGTCTTCGAATGAGTTATAATCTTGATGTTGCCTTTTTGGCTCCAATGTGTGTCTAGTGTTGCCCAAAATAGGGCTTCACGATCGCCGACATAGAGCTGGATGCGGGTCAACACGCCCAGGCGAGTTGACATGACCACCGGGTCAAAATTTCCAGACGGGTTAGCACGACGGCAGGTCTGCGCAACCTATCTGTCCCCAAAGGTTTTTCTGGAGGAGCGAGAAAGAGGAGAGGATTGTAGTGTAGCGCTGATGCCCTCAAGCGTAGGCACAACCCTTTGTATGTCGGGTGGGGCATTTGGGCCCTCCCATTCTTAATCGTCGGTGCAGTGAAACTGGGGAAGTCCCACCTTTCGCTGATAATGGTATTCGTATTGTAGCACGCAAGGAGATAAGCATGTGCATGTCGAGCGCCTAATGACAGCGGCCTATGTTCACCTCATTGTTACAATCTCCCCAACACTTGGCAAACACAGATGGAGGTAATGCAACCGCCAGCATTGCCGCCGGGCTGCGTCCTGGAGGCCAACGCCTCGTCTGGGAACGGATCGGCTAGAACGGACAAGCTCGCGAATTGCAGGGCTCAGGGTCTATGAACAAACATTCGAATGTGCTAGGCTGGGGAAGGCGCACCGTCATACAGCCGTGTCAAGGCTATGCCCTAATTACGGAGGT